AAAAAAAAAAAAAAAAAAAAAAAAAAAAAAAAAAAAAAAAAAAAAAAAAAAAAAAAAAAAAAAAAAATCGCCATCACCGCTATACATCAGCAAATCGGCAATTCCCTTGCGCAAAAATTCGATCAATTCCATGGAGCTCAAGCTGTGACACCGTCCATCTGCAATTTTTTACATCACCCAACTTCACTCGCTCTTCACTCCACCCCTCCTCCTCGTCCTCCTCCTCCACCTCCTCCTCATCATCATCACCCCATCTTCCTCGTTTTGTAAATTACCGAACTGCTTTGTCATCCCTCGGGATTGCCGATCTGCAATTTCTTAAATTTTTATTTTTCCCTATCGCAATTCGCCTTGACAGTCTTCCCTCCCCCGGACTGACGTCAACAAAAAAAGTACCCCCTACCGTCGGCTTCACCCGACCGAATAGAACGCCCGGGTCGTTATATCCGTATCTGGGCCAACTTTCAGTCCGGACGCACGGACATAATAATGACCCGGGGGGTGGCGTTCTATTCGAGTGGTGGAAACGGTAGTGTAACGCAGCTGATCACGCCGACTTAACGGATCATCTCTTGCGGACATCATTTCCCTCTTCCTCATTCACCCAAGGCGATCCTTACCTCCCTCCTCTCCCTCCATATCTGCCCTGTCAATAATTGCCTTCATCAGCATCTACCCAATATCCGCACACAACATACATCATGCCACAATTTGCCACACAGCCAACAAGTTCGGGTTGACCTTTTTTTTTTCCCCGTTTTTTTCCCCCTGGATCCTACCGATTTCCCAAGTCCGCGCAACCCTTCCCCCCTTCCCCGTTTCCCCTCTCCCCCGATTTCCTCCCCTCTCCTTCACTATTTCCTTGCCCCATTTAGAACGAGGAAGAGCTATCGCCTCTCTCTCCCATGCTCACAAATCTCCCTTCGTAAGGGTTGAATCTTTTCGCACATGGCCGACAACCTTCCGTAGGATGCCAATCAACATCTCCTCGCCACGGTCAAGAAGAGCTATCGCCTCTCTCCCATGCCCACAAATCTCCCTCCAAATCTCCCCTTCCTCCTCCCCTTCCTGGTCCCAATCAAGCCCTTTCCTTCGTCGTCGGCAAAAGATCTCATCTTATCCCTTACGAGCGATTTGAATCCGTGTCGTCGGGATGAGAATTGACTACTCCCTATACTCAATTGCTATCTTCTCCTCTCTTCTGTAAATAATAGCGGCTGTTTTGCTGTGATACGACTCTTTGAGCATGGTATATACTTTTCTATGAATGCTCTGCTCCCTACACCACCTGCCGTCATTATTTACTACCCCCACCCCTCCCATTATCAAGTCGCCATCTTCGTCTCCCCATCTCATCACACACCCCTCCCACAATTCCAGTGCTTGTGCCTTCGGGGTGGGGGGGGGGGGGCATGTCGCGCATCACCCATCGTAATCATCATTTACTACCCCATGTGGGTTTTGCGACAACCCCCTCCACCTCTTATTTTCTCTGCTGATGCTCCATTCCTCTTCATCTCGGTACTACCTACCCCCTCATTCTCTTCCTCCTCTTATTCCGTAAAAAATGGCCGGGAAATTCTTCACTTCCTCATCATCGTAATCATCATTACCAATCACTCTGCATACATCCCTCCCTACTCTCTCACCGCTATACGCATCGTTTGCCGCCGTTTGCCACTCCTTTGCCTTTTCTCTCTCACCCTTATCTCCTCCGTTTGCCTCCGTTTGCCTCCGTTTGCCTCCGTTGGCCTCCGTTGGCCTCTGTTTCTCCTCCTCGTCATCGCAATCATCATCATCACTACCTGAAGTGAATACATCCATCCCCACTCTTCTCTCACCCCTATCCCCATCGTTTGCCGCTGATTGCCACTCCGTTGACTTTTCTCGCTCACCCATATCGCCTCCGTTTGCCTCTGTTGCCTTTTGTCCCCCTCTTTGTCGCCGCCGTCGCTGTTGCTGATTGGATCTTCTCTTTCCTCCCCCACCTTCCCTTCCTCTTCCCCCCCCCCCCCCCCTCTTCCTCCCCCCCCCCCCTAACCTCCTCCTCCCCCTCGTTACGTTTGTTTTGCTATTCAAACTTGACGATCTCGATTTTCCAGATGTCCATCTCGCTCATTACTTCACGCGTGAGTGAGTCAGTCTCGCTGACACGCAGATTTTGCTGACGCTTTTCTTTTTTTTTTCATCGGAGAAAAAGACAAAAAGGGAAGAAGCGCTCGCACACCCTGATCGATCAAATTAGCACATGCAGGTCGCAAGCAGATCGGTCCCGACTGCATATCCGGACGCAGAGTGCTCTTCTTGTACCAAGTCGCAGTCTTCGATGACGTCATGCTGCCACGTCGATGCACGATCGGTCCCGACTGCATATCCGGACGTTCGAACGGCATCCCGACCCGACCCGCACAAGCAGTAAGTAGAGCGACGACAACACGCCTGCTCCCTCCCCTGACCACGACGCACATCGATCACGAATGACCGTAAACAGTATCGTTTTCGGTTGGATATACTCGTATGATGAACGTGCGTTCTATTCGCGGGAAATCGGGGACAGCGAGAAGACTGAACGAAAGGACGAGGGAGAAGGCGAGGAGAAGAGAGAAAGAAGGGATTTGGAGAGAGAGAGCGAGAGAGAGAGAGAGATGAGAGGAGAGGAGAGAGAGGAGGAGGAAACGATGAAGTTGCTTGCTCAGAAGAAAGGAAAAAGAGAAAAAAGAAATCAATAAAATCGATCACGAATGAGATCAAAAGAAGATCATGCAAAAAAAAAAAGAGGACATGATGCCACAGGAGGAGAGAAACGTGACAATCCCCATCAGCAGCAGAAGAAGAAGAAAGAAGGGGAAGTAGGAGGAGGAGGAGGAGGAGAAGAAGTGGGGAGAGGTTGCAGAGAGGGAGGAGGAAAAAAGACAGGAAACAGAAAGAAGGAAGAATTGAAAATGGACAAGAAATATATATAAAAAAAAAAAAAAGGACAAGAGAAGAGAGGAGGATTTGGGAGATAGAAGACTGACCTTGGATCGAGCGGCGGATTTCTTATTAGCAGAGAGGGAAAGGTTTTGTGCCTTGGAATCCTCCGCCTTGGAAGGGGTACAGCCATCCTTATTAAGGGCTCTGGCCTTGGTATTGACGATCTTGAGCTTCAACTTGAGCTGTGAGCGTTCGTGGCCATGACCATGAGATGTCTCCTCCACAACAATCTCGTAAATGTTACCTGGCTTACTCTTTTTTCTGGATCCCTTAGATTGCTTGTGTTTGCTCTTATGCTTCGGATTCGCTTCTTTCCCCATCGGTGAAGGAGGAAAAGGAGAAGGAGGAGAGATCGACTAAGCCGGCGGACGTGACAACGAGATAAGCGAGGACAAATGATGCTCAGAAAAGCCACAAGGAAAAAGCAAAATCCAGATTTGGGCCACAATGGTAATGACGGCGGAGGCGGCAAACAAACCTCTCCTCCTCCTCCTCCTCCTCCTCCTCCCCCTCCACCTCTCTCCTGCCCTTCTCCTCCTCGTCGCCGTCCAATTACCTCTTTTAGCGATCGGGTGCTTGTCTTCCTCGATACGCTTCCAAAATTACTGCGAGAGGAGGCGGCATAAAGCAGGCGAGGCATCACTCACTACGTCTTCCCTTCCTCCTCTTCCTCCTCTCTCTCTCTCTCTCTCTCTCTCTCTCTCTCTCTCTCTCTCTCTCTC